TTAAGTTGTAATTTTTGATTGTAAAGACAAAGTATTGCAGGTTCTGGGGGAAAAAAAAAAGTGGATCTTAATGACATGATCCAGTGGGTTTAAAAGCCGTCTGTATTCTTCTTTGCAATTGCGAAGGGAAAATGCATTAAGATAGTCTATACCACAGTTGGAGTTCCCAGAGTAAATGTGCTTTGTCCTTACTTAGATTAAAATAGAATTAAATTATGCTATTTAATTCTTAGTCTGTTGAACCATTGGTTTCTCTTTACCTGTCTCTGGTTTTGCTGCAGTAACTTCCGTCTCTTGTTCCTGGCACTTCCCACATAATCAATTTGATTGCATTTTTTAAATAGCCACTCTACACTGCTTGTGTTTACTTTGTTGTACGCTGGAGTGTGCTTTGCATTTCTTATTAAATTTCCAAAATTCAAATAACCTCGCACACTCAAAAAATACTTATTATGGGTTATCAGATCTTCACTGAAGCTGAAAATACACGAGGTCAGCATTCACTATGTTTTTCCTAACAGGGGTAAGCCTTTGGCCTGGGTAAAACTGTCAGTGTGGAGGATTGCTTGTTGCTTGATGTCAAATATATTAGGCAGATGGTTGGGCCTGTGGGGTTCAACTTAAAATTATTTGGATCTTACTCATTGCTCTTTATGCTCTGCCCTGTGGAGTGCTTTATTTAGTCATTGCCAGTGTCCATTATACCTTCAGTTCCTCCCTTTTTTCCTTCCTTTTTCTTTGCAGCTAAACAATAAAAGGGATTTGGCCTATTTAGAATTCAGAAATACAGACACTGCAATATCCTGTAATATATCCTTAAATTCTTACTCAGACATGCAAAGTAGCAGAGGCCTTGTCTATACTATAAATGTAATCATTTCAGAATCTGGTTATGTCACAGTATTTTTCACTAACCCAGTTAAAAACATGGTTTCAATTTGTAGAGTAGACAGGACTTTAACTGTGCTTCCTAATCTGACTGGTTATGGAACACACTTGTGGTCTGGCTTGCCCTGGGAAATGGAGTCATGTTTATACATAGTTAAGGTATGCTTATGTGTGTAGCCAATTATCCTAGTATAACAATCGTGAAAGAGCAAAACTGCTTACAGCCACATCATGTATTAGTTTACAGTGTAAAAAAAAAAAATTACAGTACAGATAGATAATTGCTGGTATCTTTTCTGATATTATATTATAAAGTAAAATGTCGGAAGCAGTATTTATTGGCTTCGCTGCCACAAGCACCATCATATGTCAATTGGATATTAAGTGAATATAACTCTCTGTAAAAAAATTCCAGATGTGTCTTTGCAGTTTTCCACCCACATTTATTATGCAAAAAGTCACTGAATTCTCAAAGGGCACTATTTACTGTATGGCGCCCTCATAGGACGAAGAAGTGGGTACAGATCTATCACAGTGTCATGTACCTCCTTACAATTGTAGGGTTTGACTGTTTCCATAATGTAATACCTTATTTAGTGGAGATATAAATATATTTAATAATTTTTGTTCTTAATATTGGATTTGAAACGAACCTTGTATGTCTGGCTATTATAAAGGGTGGGCTGGTTGTTGGGTTTTTTACCTTTCTGCTCTGCTGCCATATCTGATGCCATGAATCACTAGAGTCTACAGTTATAATTCACAGCAGTTCTTTTTAAATTGAATCAAAGTCAGACAGGATTTACAAGTTAGGAGTGTAAAAGTGTTGAAACGTCGGGTTTGTGGGTTTTTTCCTTAGCTTAGCCTATATTTACTCTTGCACTTTCTTGTGTCCGACCAGTCACCTCATTCAGTACTTGATTCTTTCCTATGCTGAATGCAGCCCAGTCCACCTCTTTCCCAACAAGGAATCTTTCCAGCCTTGAAGTTTCCTGCTCATCCTTACCCAGGTTATGAAACCTTTCTGTTCCTTGGACTTTCACCAGCTTATAACTGTTTCCTTCCAGGATAAATCCAGGTTCTAGAAGTGCACCAAACAGCCCACAAGACTTAAAATTCTTTCCCTTCCCTGACATTTGTCAGCAGACTCCTCCCCTAATTTGCTGCTATGACTCAGACACATGCAGACTGAAAGCAGACTGCTGTAAACGCTGTTCCTTCTCTTGGAAGTTCTTGCCTCTGCTGGCCAGAATGACTACGAGGTTATTATGTAAAAAGTAATTTTCTCTGGTTTGACTCAATATGCTTTTACTGCAGTTCACAGCAGCATGAGCAATTCAATCACCTGAGCTGTAGTGACTGGAACTCTGGTGGGAGAGAGAAGGTAGAAGCTTCTGAGATGACAACGCCCAAAATTCATATCTGTTCATCAGTTAGAAGTCTTTACATGTACATGTACCGCTCGGTCCCCATGTGTTGCCTGGTCTAGTCGAGAGTTGGCGTCCCTGCCCATGACAGGGAGGTTGGACTAGATGATTTCTAAGGTTCCTTTCTGCCTAGGCCATTCTGTGATTCTATGAAAAGTGGGTTTTTTTCCTTTAAATATATAAACTCTGTAAAAGGATAATTGAAGAGTTGTCATCGAGCCAAGCCATGTAACTTCTGGCATGTAGTTATTCATTATTTCTATTGTTTTAGAAAAAAAACAAAACTCAAAAACTCATTTCTTCTGCTTAGATTTTTCATGTTTTTTTTTTCTTAATGGGACCTTCCTTCCATATTGTTTATATTTATTTTTTGTGATCACACTGAGAACCAGAGTAGTATGGCAGCTAACATCTGCATCTGTAAAATACATTATTCACCAAGAATACATATACAGAAAGAAAGCTTTGATGTAATCAGTTTGGGATTTTTTTAGGTACAAAATTGCTGTTCAAAGTCTGAGTACAAGTGTTTTTTCCTTTTTTTGTGTGATGACTTGGCAAGCATGGGTCACATCCATCAGTCTAGACAGATTTTTAAAAGATAAAAATTAGACATGTTACTTTATGTGCCTCTTGTACTTGAGATGCAGTATTGGTGAAGAACATCTGTGTTGCAGCTGGTGCTTACTGTTGCAGAGAAGGGCACTACTCCAACTGACAGGAAATCAAGCATAGTAAAGATACATTCATTTTCTAGATTGAACATAAATTTTATAGATACTTAAAACTAAATTAGTCTCCTAGTTTTTCTCACGTATTTTTTTTCCCCTCTTCCTTGCAGTCACTGCAGTGTCTCACTAAGGCACATAAATGTGAAATTCAATCAAGTGATTGGGAGAAAGATGTTTCTTCTTTTAAGAAAGTGGTGAAAGGAGCAATAGAGATTGCACATGGTATGTTCTACGTGAAAAGAACTTTTATTGTTAATGAAGTGTATTAAGCTTATTAGCAAAATTAATATTATACTTTACCCATTGTATTTATTTCTGTTATTGGAACTCCTCTAACAGAGAGTATCATCCTGGTGGTGCATACAAATTATACTTGGAATGAGGCAGATATTGTGCTGTGTGAGTCAGTAAACATATGACCGGTAAACGTGAAATCATTTAATTTCACGGTCTAGCAATTTCATAATGCAAGTGAAAATGCATCTGTAGTTCATCTCAGTCCTCAAATCATCATGTAATGTGATTGACTGTGCCTGTCAGGAGATGGATAAAATGTAGACTATTTACTGTGCTGTGATATTTATGTTTAAGAAGGATACATATGCCTGTTGGGTTTAGAGTTATTTTCTCAAAATTACTTTGCATTCTTTTTCTTTCTGTTTCTTTTTTGTGATATTACATTAAAAAAAGTCTATGGAGGGTGTAATGATTTTTAATTAAATGCTGTTGTTTAAAGACTATTGCTGTAGAGGTAATGCTTTCTTGTTTGGGGGTCTTTTTCTTCTGTGTTTCGATTCTAGTGGCTATAAAATGCAGCAAGAACAAATCTAATCATCAGGAAGCTTTGCAGATACTTTCTTCAGCTCGGCTCAACTTACGTGGCTTGTCATCCAAAGCAAAGGTAGGAATGCCTCAAAGGTAGGAATTTTTGTTTGAAAGCTAGGCATCTTTGTTCTGTTGCCAGAAACCATTTATCTGTTCAGAGTCGTTTATAAATCAGATAACAGCTGCCTATCCTAGTGCTTCATCTGATGGATATTCACCTCTTCACTGTTAAGGATTCCAGTTTTAAGTAGACTTCTATTTCACTCCTTCCTTCTAGGCTTTGAAATAAACTTACTAGTCTAAGAGATAGCATTGACATTTTAGAGTAAGTTAGAATTTTACTCAAAGTTGGACAGACAGACTTGAATGTTTGGAAGAAATCAGTGATTTCAAAGACCTGTTCCTTATGTGAAGAGTCATGGGGGAAGCAGGGCAGTATCAGAAAGAATGGATGTAAACCTGAAGAAAGGACCAAAACTTTGTCAGGACTACTTTGCATCACAAGTGTTTTAAAAACAGAGTTACTTATTACAAGAGAGATCTAATTTTTAAGTAAGGTTTTATTAAATTCATATATTAATTAATTGGAAAATAGCATCATGTTTGAGTCATATGTTTGATTTTTAGAGTTGTGCCTCCATAGCCAGGCATTCAAAGAGCTGAGTCTGTTTCTGCACCATTATTAGCCTAGTTTTACACTTCATCTTACAATGCGAGACACAGCCAGTGTTTAATATTGAATATGTTTTCATTCAAAATACACGCAGTGTCTTAAAGACATATTCCTTCTGACTGTGTGTGGGATTTAGTAAATGTGAATTACAGAGCACAAGTTTTATAACATGTGTGCTTGTGTTACGAAGTGTTGATCCCTCATCAGTGTGCTAAACTTGGCTCGCTCTCTTTTAAGTCCTATAATTTTAAGGATAAAAGCCTAGGAAAGTTGTATAAGCAGACACAAGCTGGCTCTTGAACTGTGGGTTTAGATACTGGCATATATAAGTCTTAGTAATGTGGTGAAAAAAGCCACAACATGTATGTTTTGTTGTGATTCACAAAATGTTGTGGGTTTTTTTGAAAAAAGTGTGTATACTATGACTGTAGAGAATGCAAGACTACTTGAGATAAATTACATAAATACAAGTGGTTTATATTATGCAAGATCATGCAGTATTTGAAAGATTAATAGGTGAGTCTCATAAATTGTTCTCTTAATTCCTGAAGACACTAATTAAATGAACATCTGTATTATTGGCAGATAATGGTGCCTCTAAGTTGTATGGCACTTAGAAGAAAACTTAGGTGTTGGAGATAAAGCTCTTGGCATGACTTTGCTGTTTTTGCATACTTTCCAAGATGCCATCTTATTTTTAATTTGAAGTCATATTGAATTTCTAAAGTGTGTTGTGGTTTAAAAACTCAGTCATCCTCTGTAAGATCCTATGCACAAACACTTTAGCACTGTTTGTGCCTGTCCAAGCTTGACATCTCCTTTTGCTGCCTTGTGAGTCAATATTAGTGTGGGGTGCTTTTTTTCTCTCTTCTAACATACAAAAGCACTTAAAAAATGAGCTAAGAGAAGAGTCAGTAGTTAAGATTTCAGAAGGAATAAAGGAACAGTGAAAGTAACTTTTAAAAGATAAAATCCAAACATTTCAGTCAGGACATGCAGTTGGAAGAAACCAGTAGTTTTTGTACAGGTGAAACAATGTCACTTTGCACCTTTCCTTAAAATTGTCTACTGAAGGCTGCAACTTGATAATGTGTTATTAATGGATTTCTTTCTGAACAGAGCCTTCTGGGCAGTTGCATGCTCTGCCAATACGCATAGTAGACCCTATTCTGCTCCTTGCCCCCATGTACTATTGGGATCTGGCATGTAGAGTCTCCAAAAATTAGAATATTCATCAGCTGTATCATAAATGTAGGAGGTGTAGGTATTGTTGCAGGGAAACACGGGACACAGCCCAAAGAATGATGATGCGTGAAACTTCCCCAGACTCCATCTAGTTGAATAGATCTCTCTGTGTGGAGAAAGGGAAAAAAAACAGAAAACAGCAAAACAAAACCAAACAAACCCCAAACTAACAACATACCTCCCATCCCCACCTCGAACAAATAATTATATCATTCGGATTTATTTAGCTGTCTTAGCCAGAAAGAACTAAACTTTCTGTCACATTCCCCGGGTGAGCGTTTGGGGCTGAAAGTCAGAAAAGTTTCTGTACTTGTAGCAGAAACTTGTTCCTATTTTTGTGTAAGATGTTCCTTTGTTCAGTGACAACACTGTTCTGAGGCACAGAACTAAAGACCTTCCTTCGGGCCTTTTAAGTACATTCTTGTTTATATACGTATCTGTATTGTCCCGTTATGTTTTGATGATATAATGATGTACAGATGTACTCCAGAGCAACTTTTGTTGTCGTGGTTTCTTTTTGTCTCTAAATGTAGGCTTTTCATTTGTTTCAAATGAAGTGTGAATCACTCTCCCTTTACATAATAAAGGAGAAACATACATTTGGGTCCCACCACCACCATATTTCTGTGGAGTGGTACCTCACACAGCCTCTATATTACTTGGGTCAAGTGGCAAGTCCTGGCCTTGCAATAGCAACGCGTTCTGGTGCAGCATGCACAAAGCTTCGGTTCAGAGCTGGCATATCTCAAGGCTTTAGACAAGTCATTTAACATTCCTCTCCCTTAGTTTCCCTGTAAACACATGAAGATTGTGACTGCTCATGGGTTAGCTGCTTTGTGTTTCTGTTAATGTCTTGAGGTCTTTAAGAACTATTTTTATTACTCTGTAGTGTTTTGTTTTCTCTTGTATAACTTAATTACACACAGATGCATGGCTCAATCCATGCATGTCTGACATCAAATGTTAAAACATGATTGAGGTTTTGGAGAAAATGACCCAACAGAATATGACACTGGGGAAAATAGCCATTAAAATTCACAACTACTAATTTATCAACAGGTGTGTTTTTAAACTGCAGTGACAGTATGTGAAATGCTTTTCTAATTTGAGTTTCGTGGTCAAGTCTTTCAATGGTATCAGGAATCAGCACAGGCAGTCGGGTCAGATCAGAAACCCAGCGTCCACAGGTAGATTTGGCCCCTTTGGCAAAATACCAGGTGTGTTGCATACATCTCAGGTCTGTATATCTGTACCTATGTGTGTGCACACACATATATGTACCTTCTCTTTATTAGCCATGAAATAGCCTTTTTAAAGAAAGAGATGCCATCATATATATGAAAAATATGAAAGGCAGGATGGTAGCAATGAGCTTCCTCTATTCCGTCTTAATACTAAAACAGAAAAACTGTATGTATGTTTTAAAATCATGTATTGCTTTTTGTCACGCAGCAACTTTTTGTAGATGTAACAAGTAATGAAGTTCACAGTGAGATAGCTGATGAAGTGATAACTATGGACAACACGATTGCTGAACTTCAGGAACTGAGCAACCAGCTGAGAGACCGGTGCTGACATATGGACCAGATTTGGTGACAGGAAGACAACGACATGTTTCTTTTGCTGATGAAATGGTAACAATTCTAATGCAACAACACTGTCAATAAACATTTTTCTGTACAGTGCTGTTCTTGTGGTCAGCTTTCTTCACAGCTGAGGCTGCTTTTTCAGATCCTTATCCACTGTGGCTGGCTTACAAAGTTGCCTGTCTTGGTTTCTGAGGCCCAGGTTTTCTGGAACGGGGCTGCGTGTATTTAAGGCGATTCCTGAGGACTGGTTCCGCCTGACAGCACCACGCCTGGGCGCCAGGGCTTGGTGAGAGGCCCCACCCATGTTGGAAGTGGGCGAGTGGGAGGAGGTGGGACCAGCACATGGCAGAAGCGGGAGCTGGGCACAGCCTATCGCCCTCGCCATCCAGGCACACAGCCAATCAGAGGGTGCCTCTTGTCTTCCCCTGGCCAATCAGAGAAGCTGTAAGGTTGGCCCCTTGGTGGTGGGTGGCAGGAGGCTGAGGCGAGGGCAAGCTGTCATGGCGCCGGGGCCTGGGCCCTGAGGTGGCTCGCTAGGTTGTCAGGCACATTCCAATTTTAATTTGGTGCTAATTGCTGACAGAGCAATAAGAGTAGGGTCTCAAGAGTAAGGATTAAGTCCTTTTCTTGTTATTCTTGTAATGCAATCAAAGTAGCAGGATGTTTGCTGCTTTGGGATTTGCAAGCAGTTATTATTTCAAGCAGTATTATAAATTATTCAAAAATACATAAGTTGTGTCCCATGTGCCTAGACTGGCACTTCATCTGGGCTGTTTACAGGCGTGGGGATATCCCCCTACTGAGGCAGCAATAAAACTGCAATCTAAGCTAAAATACTTACATCTGACTAGACCTTGAACAAGTTATTTTCATCTAGATTGTTTTGCATTGTTTCATTTTTAAGCAACTTTGCTACAGCACTTCTTAAAACAGCATTTTTTTTTAGGGTTTTCCAGAAACCTGTGCAAAATAATTTCCTAACTTATTGTGAATTTGGCTCTTTCTTCCATAGAAGAATGATACAGTCTCCAAAAATGTGGTTATCTATATTCTGGATATGCACTGTCTGTGCTACAGTCAGTGCAAATTATACCATTACTAAATGACAAGAATACTCTCCCTGAAGAGAAAGTCGAAAGGTAAAAGCAAACAACTGGATTTGAAGCAGTAGCAAAAGGGTGTTACTTTGATGTGTGAAGGGGGAGCCATCCTGATTCCTTTGTAAAGCTTTGTATCCTTGTAAAGCTTCATGGAATAGAGAGTAAATTACTTGCTGCCAGTATTTTAACATGAGGTTTCCACAAAAATTACTATCTTAGAAACAGGTTTACCTGCCAGTGAAGGAGAGCTGAGTCTGAAACACTACTTCACTGAAATGGCCCAGGACTGGAGGAGGCACTGAAGTTTGTGCAGAATTTGCTAGAGATAGTCCTGTGTTGTTCATGTCTAGAGTCAAGGTCCTACCTGACTGAAAAAAGGAAAAAGCTGTGAGTTTTGTGACAGCCTCCACCACTACTATCTTTTTATAATTATATTTGGATGTAATTTACCTTATTCACAAAGGAAAAGAAAAAAAATCTTTAAAACAATTAATTTATTCCCAGCACTAGATTTTATTGAGATGAAACGGTTTAGGTGTGTTGTTTGGTGGCAGGAAAATCTGCCATTTTTCTTGTGATCTTATGACAAACTTTAAACCAGAATTATATCCTATTATCAACTTAAAAACTTGACATTTTAATTCAGTTGTCTTGATTTAAAAGAAAATAATTTCCATGGAGTCTGCCTGAGATACTGGTACAACTAAAGTTTGAAGATGCTTTTGTTTTTCTGCAATGGCTTCTGCCTAACATTTAATAACGACAGATGGGAGGTTAACATTTCATAATGAGTCTCACAGAGAGGTCTGTGAGGGGGCCTTTATTTCCTTTCTCTTTTGTTTTTTTCTTTTGAAAATTTTTTTTTGCCTAAGTTTGTCACATGAAAAAGTCTTTCTGCTCTTCTGATGTCTCACCCCTGCACTACTTTACATGTTTTCTCAGCACAGATTTTTTATTTTTCCTCATTTGAGCCTCCCTCTCTTAGCAGATGTGTGGTATATAAACAGCTTTGTCTTTCACCTGATACAGGGAAAGCCTGCTGTCCACAAACAGGGTGTTCCTGAAGAGTGGGATGGCTAATGTCACCACAGCACACCAATTTTCCTGTCATAAATAATGTAATAGAAGGGAGATAACTGCACAGACCTAAAAGTACACAATTTACGTATGTACAGTTGATATACGAGGCAGGAGCTGACTTTCTCTTCAGGAGACCCTGACTTTTCGGAACAGATAACCATCCCAGATATCTCAGCCACTTGATCCATGAGACTGAATGCCTGATATAAATCTCTTACCAGGTATTTTCTTGCTACGCTTTTTTGTGTTAGTGGCACTTTCATCTTTCTTGGATGCAAGGTGAACCTGCACTGTTTCTTTGGAGTTCATCACAGGGACCTTTTAAAACTTTACAGACAACCGCCACCTCCATTTTGTGTGGTGCTTGTTTTCTGTACTCATGCCAGTAGCTCTAGGAGACCATTGGCATGAAGACAATATTTCTATGAAAGCTCTGGCTGTCAAAGAAACTTTCTGGGAAGGAACATTTCCTAAGCAGGCTGCAGGCTTCCCAGATCTCCATCTTGTGGGTAGCATCTGTCTTCTAACATGGGAATGTTTTTCACTCAGATCACTCCTGTGACAACTGCAGAATTCTTGAGGGTTTAGCAAAACTGGACAGTGCTTTCCTGATGCAGTTGTCACACCTACAAATAACACTTATAACATTTATGTTATTTTCAAACGCTCTATGTAATTACTTAGTGTAGCATGGACTCAAGCAATATTTTTTTAGGAATGTCATACACTTCACAGTAGAACTTCAGATACTGCTGATCTCTTTTTCTTGGCTTCAGAAGTATTAGGAATTACTTTTGTCATCTGTCTGCCATTTGAGCTAGTTTGGTGTGAAATAGAAGTGAAATGGATGAGTCTAGAATTTTTCAACTTCTTACCCAGACAGGGAAAGCAACTGTCTCAGGGTTTTGAAGATGAGTATGGAGCCAGTAAAGCTGGAGGAAGTATGATGCATGAAAAACAATTTACTTCCATGGTCTAAGAGGGTTTGTTTGAATGATTTTGACCTAATATGGTTCAACCTATGATGTATTTTCAATCAGTGATGGTTAGAACTCAGGGAAGATCTCCTGATTCACCCAGAGGACTCTGTCTTCACAGAGGAAGTGTACACAGCCGGGTGTGGTGTTAAAAGGCTTTTCTGGGTTGGGACGTTACTCATGAGCAGAAGTGAGTGTTCTCAGGGCTGGTGAGACCGTGCTGACTCAAGCAGGTCATCCCCAGAAAATGCCAGTAAATGTTATGTTCTGTGTCACATCATCCTTAGTGTTGCTTCCACCACAGAGTAGTACATTCACAAAGGCAAACAGCTCTCATCCTATCAGTCATGCCAAGCTCTGTGCCAAAAGTGCCTTAGAAAGAAATAAAACTTGGAGTGATTTTTCAGATCTAAGGATGGAGTATGGCTTACATGCAACTACAGAGGATACGTTTACAGGTGTAGCTTTTGGATATGTTTGTACTGTCGTTAAAACTACATCTCTATTTTCAAAATAAACAAGGGAGAGAAAAACAGGTATTAATTTTATCGTGCTTTGGAGCAGCACTGCCCAAGAAGGTATAATGTCCCTTTGAAATTTTTTTAACTTAGCTCTTTTGTTCAGTATTTCTGCCTCAATATCAGTGACTATATGAATGACAGTACAGATGGACATAATGTATTTCAGGGGATAAAATGAAGATAAAAAACTTTGTGGTATTTCCAGAGTAATGCAAATAAATTAAATATACATGTATTTAACTCTTCTTCATCTGCATTCATATATATATATACACACACACACTTCTATATAATTGTGTGTGTGTCTGTGATAGAAGCTTGTTAATTCTGAAGGTGCAAGTGGTGCATTTACAGGAAGGAGCATCTCTTAGAAGCAGTGTGCGTTACAGAGGCTGGAACATAAGTCATCCTCCTGTCTGTGCATTTCTAGCATGTTACACACAAATCTAAGTGCTGACTACAGGACTGATAGCTTTCCTTTTCAAAAATGGCTAGTTGTTTGGGGTATAGTGTTCACAGAATCACACAATGTCAGGGCTTGGAAGGGGCCTTAAAGGATCATCTAGTCCAGCCCCCTGCCAGAGCAGGATCACCTACAGTAGGTCACACAGGAACGCGTCCAGGTGGGTTTTGAATGTCTCCAGAGAAGGAGACTCCACAACCTCCCTGGGCAGCCTGTGCTGAAGAAACCTTTAAAGGCGTCTGACTTCAGAAATAAACATACTAAACGCTCTCAGAAAATCAGACAGAGCCTTTCTGTTTCTTCTACACTGATCGTTCAAAGTCCCTATTTTCAAAGTCTTGATCAGATTTGACAAAGCTAGGTCTAAATATCAGTCTGAACATGGATCATCTGTATTTGACGTTAACAGGCAATAACTAGAGACTTTGTGAATGTTCACTGTAGTTCAGGGGAAAAAAAACTGTTTTCATAATTAAATACCTTTAAACACTGTGCCTTAGTTCTGAATTTCCTGCTCTTTTGTTTCAACTCTGTTTTCCGGAGAGCTTTTTATTGCTGGTCTACCGGTTTGGTTTAAATTATGTAAACTGTTATATTTTAATATGTTAGTTTCATTTATTTTATTCGCATAAGAGATTTCCATTGATGTCTGCCATTACAAAACTGTGGCTTCTTCCATTTATGAAGCATTTTAAATTCAAATAGTAATAGATGGACTTTGTATTAAGGCTGAAAAATGAACAGAGTGGAATCTTAGAAATTATTTTATTACAAAATTTTGATGGTTACCTTGCATTAAGACAGACCTGGATAGCACTTTTACTATAAGTGTTTTAATTTACATTTCTGAAGATGTTTTATGTACATAAGTGCATATAAAAGATGTGCCTATCCTCTGCTGAGGAATGCTAAGCACTGCGGTTTTTTGAGCTAAAAAGTCATAAGCAAATCA